TCGCTATGAATCGGGTCCGACTCGACAACACGTAACAACAATTTACTTCTGGCCTCAATGCCCCTTTAAATAGCAATGATTACATATACAGCCAGACTTTAACTCTTACAACCAAGTAGTGCTCGCTCTCCTTTGCATCTATCTCTGCCTACCACACTTTCTATCCATAACTGGCACGTATAGATAGCATACCTGCAGTGTCTTGGAAAGTCAGGAGACTGGGTTGATTCTTATGTGACCAAAGGTCATTTCTGAGATAAGAAGTAAGAATGTTGCCACTTTTCATCCATCCTGCACTTTTCATCTAGCCTATGACCATCCTGCTTAAATACTAATTTTGTAGAGGTAAAAGTTGCTATTTTGTTCAAGAGGTAGGTTGTACTGATAATATGCAGGAAATCATCACTCCTTTTTCCAGATTCAGTGATAATCAGTAGCCTGAGGACTATAAATCTTGACATAGATTCAGCTGGATATTAACAATATGAGTTACATATGAAACTCTCCGGAGTTGAACAGATCATTTCATGGGCATTAACAGAATGAATCCACAATTTCAGAAAGTCATTTTTGAAAACCTATATAACAAACAAACAAAAACAACGCATTTAGCTTATGTATCTTATAGAACTGTTGGCAATCAGGGTAAAGTATTTTATAACCGTAAAACTATACAAATCAAAATCATAAAGAAAAAAAGGCCAGACTTAACTGATCTGATAAAGTCTGGTGGAGCCCCGAGAATATGGCCCTTAGACACCCTTCAAACCCAGAATGGAACCTACCCCCAGGGATCACCTTTCAGCCAAATAGACCTATAAAATGAACAGTGACAGCTATGAGGAAAATACTCCTAGGTATTCCTCAGAACAGTCAACCATAGGAGACCAAAAAGGATAGCACTTAGCCAAAAACAAAGCCCATAAGGCAGGAAGGGCAGGAAAGAAGGACAGCAAATAGGGGACCCGGGCAGGAAGAGGGAAGAGTGCTGTTACCTGGAAGGGATTGCAACTAATGTCCCAAAACAAAATATAAATTGTTGAGTGGAAAACTAATTTGCTCTATAAAGTTTCACCCAAGCCACAATTTAAAAACAAAACAAAAAAGTTCTACAAATTTATATATAATAAGCTTAGAGTAAAATGATATTATTACCAGAGAAAATAAATTAAAAAAAAAAAAATAGCTAGAAGAAGGACGTGGCAAGCTACTTCTAAATAAAATTGGCCACTGAAAATCTTAAGATAACAGTGGATCATTATCTGATATAGGACCAGAAGATGAGCCTCTCAGATTAGAAGGAACTCAACATAGGACTGGCAAAGAGCTGCTTCCTCAAAGCAGAGGTGACCTTAATGACATGGTTGGTGTAAAGCTTTTGTGACCTTCATTTACTAATAGGGCATAACTCAAAATGAGAAGAAACAGCTGCAAACATCCATTGATAATGAGAATGTGGATTGTACTGAATAGGAATCCAGGAAAATTGGAAATTATCAAAAATGAAATGTAATGCTTGAAGATTGGTATTTTAGGCATTAGTGAGCTGAAATGGATTGGTACTGGCCATTTTGAATTGGACAATCATATGGTTGTTATCATTCCTGCATCGGGAATGATAAAGAGCATTGGTGTCAGATTCATTGTCAAAAAGAACATTTCAAGATCCATCTCGACAACGCTGTCAGTGATAGAATAATATCCACAGTCCTATAAGAAAGACCAGTTAATATGACAATTCTTCAAATTTACGCACCAACCACTAAAGCCAAAGATGAAGAAATTGAAGATTTTTGCCAGCTCTCGAGCTGGACAGAAGATCTCAAAGGACAGCTTGATAAGACAAAGTATTATAATGAATGTGCAAAGACCTGGAATTAGAAAAACAAAAGGGGAGAACACTCTTGGAATTACTCACACAAGAGAACTAAAGAAAGATTTCAAGCCTTGAATTGCAATAGTGAAGGGTTCAATGGGCAAAATGTTGAAGAATGCAGGAAGCATCAGAACGAAATGAGTACACAGGGGCACTGTGCCAAAAACAACTGGTAAACATTCAGCCACTTTAGGAGTGCGGCAGTTCAGTTTGTGTGTCAACTTGGCTGGGCCTCATTGAGTGGATGGGCATCTGGAGATAGTTATTCCCCATGGTGACATTGGTAATTAACTCCATGGTGGAATCTATTGAAGAAGCTGAGTAGCTGCTTTGGGTATGTGGTCATCTTCCCCGTATATAAGCAGCAGCTTTGGGAACAGTCTCTAGCTTATGGTACGTTTGAACCCTGCATGTAGCCGTGTTGTCGTTCAGTAGCCTGCCATTCTATTTGTTGACCTTGGGCTTGTTAGCCTCAGCAGCTACAAGCTGCCTCTGGCTTCAGTGGGCCAAGAATAAGAGGCAGAGCTGAAGCCCGAAGTTGAGGGGCTTTCACATAGCCCCTAGATCCTGGCACTTTGAACTCAGACTTCTAGCCTCCCGAACTATAAGAGAATAAACTCCTGTTTGTTAAGGCCATCCCATTTGTGGTATATTCCTGTCAGAGCAGCACTAGGTAACCAGAACAAGGAGATAGCATATGATCAAGAATTGATGATATTGAAGGGAGAAAATTCCAAGTGGTTCTGAAAGCATTGGTAAAAATCAAGGCTCCAGGAACTGATGGACCAAAATTGGGATGTTTTTCAACAAAAGGATGCAATACCAGAAGCACTTACTCGCCTATTCCAAGAAAAGTGGAAGACAGATGACTGAAAGAGATGCATGGTTGCACCTATGCCAAGGAAAGTGATCCAACAGAATAGAGATTATTGAACAATATCATTAATATCACACATAAGTAAAATTTTGCTGAAGATAATTTAAAAATGGTTGCAGCAGTACATCAACAGGGACCTACTAGAAATTCAAGCCGAGTTCAGAAGAGGATGTGGAATGAGTCATATCATTGCTGATGTCAGATTGATCTTGGCTGAAAGCAGAGAATAACAGAAACATGTTTACCTGTGTTTTAATGACTATGCAAAGGCAATGTTATGGATCATAACAAATTATGGTTAACATTTTGAAGAATAGGAATTCCAGAACACTTAATTGTGCTCATGCAGAACCTATTTGTAGACAAAGAGGCAGTTGTTTGAACAGATCAAAGGCATACAGTGTGGTATAAAATCAGGAAAGGTATGTGTCAGGGTTGTATCCTTTCACCATACTTTCTCAATCTGTGTGCTAATTATTTGTGTGATCAAATAATCTGAGAAACTGGACTGCATGAAGAAGAACATTGCATCAGGATTGGAGGAAGACTTACTAACAACCTACAATATGCAGATGGCATATCCTTGCTTGCTGAAAGTGAAGAGGACTTGAAGCACTTTCTGATGAAGGTCAGAGATCCTTCAGTGTGGATTACACATCAACATGAAATGAAAATCCTTACAACTGAACCAATAAGCAACATCACGATAAACAGAAAATACTGAAATTATCAAGAATTTCATTTTACTTGGATACACAGTCAAT